CGAACTTTCCCCCTTTTTTTTTCGGAGGCCCCGCACGGCCTCAAATGTTTGTTAATATTTTTTTGTGGTTTATGACGCAACATCCCACTCGGGTCTAAAACACCCCTTCCCAACTTATTTCAACCCCTTATTTTCGGGGTGCGCCGCGTGCACGCGTGTCCTGCGCTGTGCGCAGTGCGGCGCGTGTGCACGGTGCAGCACACGTCGATGCGCCGCAAGTATGCTGAAAACCAATGTCAATGAGACCTAGCTCTCGCCACCACCAACATGAGTGCCCAGGCCCTATCCCTACTAGCCTACTTGTTACACAGCTACAATCTGCCTACGAATTGACAATGCAACTGTTGTCGTCAGCAGCTCACAAAGTACTCGAAGATGTCGCCCAATGCAGACTATCGCCTATACCAGGTATATGCCCTCACATCATCATCATCATCATCATCCTTCTCTCTCTCCCTCTTCTTACACCCACGTCTTCCCTCTTTACACCTGAAGACCACCCCTGCGCCTCACTGTACAACCAAGCCCTCAGCCAGCTATGGAGGCTGGGCTATGGCGCTGTCCACCAGGTATGTGCCCTCACATCATCATCATCATCATCATCCTTCTCTCTCTCCCTCTTCTTACACCCACGTCTTCCCTCTGTACACCCGAAGACCACCCCTGCGCCTCACTGTACAACCAAGCCCTCAGCCAGCTATGGAGGCTGGGAGGCGCTGCCCTCAGCAGCGCCCTAGTTCCACACAAGACCGCACGTGCGCAGCACCTTGCTCCAACGCTAGCAGCCAGCATGCGAGCGAAAGCTCCAGCAGCACTGCCGCCAGCCAGCAAGTGCCTGAATATCGTCCAGGCAGCAAGCTCTTTCCTATATGGAAAGTGCCTGCCTCCCTTCGTGGCCTGGCTGGCTTGGGCCTGGGCCCAGAAGCTTCCGGTAGGCCCCAGGATGCTTCGTGTGGCATACTGCGCAGCCACACGGGCCCTGCAGGGCCAGTCCCGCACTTTCAGCCTAAAAGCCTAAGAAATAGGGCTTACAGGCCCCGGTCGTTTCAGCCTGAAACTGAAAAACAACATTGGATCCAGACTTGACATTTGGGATTCAGACATTTCGACGAGGGACTATTTGGGCTGTGCCGAAGACTTGGTGTTGACGACATTCCAATCTTCCCCTCCTCTTCACTTAACCCCCTTCTTCTTCGTCTGTGTATGGTAGGGGCTGGCGCAGTCTTCCTGTGTGAGGCGCCAGACCCCATCCACACCGTGTAACCATGATGATGATGTATGTTCAGGGCTGCATTGCAATATTGATTGTTCGGATCATTGGTATCTAAGTCTTCCGCTGTGCTATCTTATACTTTGTATTGAGAGGTCGGTTCTTGTTCTGGTCTGCACCGTTCAGTATGCAACATTCGCCTCTGTTGCAGCTACTGGGCCTCGTTCGGTTGGGCCTCCCAACTGTCTGGGTATGAGCCTGCGAATCCTGTCCAGGGCCTGCATCATTTTGGAAAGGCTTGGAAGGCCCTGGAATGTTTTGCTGCTCGGCATGCGTTTCCTTCAACCAACTGGCGCATCAAAACTGTCTGGACCCCAAATACGAAATTGACAGCTGAGGGCCTCTCGTGATTTTGTTAGGCCTGCCTTCACTTAGGGCGGGGCGCATTCGCAACAGGGCCCCTTAGGCCTGCCGAGGACACGCATTTTTGGCACGGCCAGGCAAATGAACCCGGGTCACTCTGGTAGCCTAGTCCAAAACTGAAATTAGGGTTCAGGTCAATAGTTTTTTTTTTTTGCCTGTTTTTGTTTTGGTTTACAGTTGCCATGTGCCAAATTTGGTATCATTCGGGCCATTGGAATTTCCTCTGATGAGATTTCTGAAATTTCTCGAGATTTCCGAAATTGGAATGTTGGCAAATTTTCATGAAAGTGCACTTTGCATTGCTGTTTTACAGGTTTTTTTAGGTTTTTTTGTTAGTACCACTCTATGAACTGGTGGCAAGTTTGGTTAAAATGACCCTTGGGTTTGGTTGTAAATGGCATGAGAAGTTGTCTAAAAAACAATTGAGGCCTCCGTTAACCGCCTCTCCTAGTATGTCACTGTGACCACCCATACCCTGACAAGATAATGCTGCTACATATACTGACTCGGCCCTGACTTGATCCCGACTCCTAAGCAGACATAGAATCTAGCAATGATAGATGTTTGGCCAATTTGAACTGTCATTTCTGTCATTTGAAGGGCATTAAATCACCGTTAGTACATCTGCCAGTTGTTTTTTCAGAGCTGCAGCTTGCTTACTACCGCAACTCATAGGGCTCCGCCTCCAGAGCAAAATAGCAGTGGCAGCAGCCAAAAGGAGGCCCGCAACGGTTCGTTTTTTTTTTGGCGCGCAGGGCATATCCAGCCCCGGAGAAAAGAACCTCGGAAGTGAAGGTGTTTTAAGGCCCAAATCAGGAGATACCGCATATTTGAGGGGCAACATTTAGGTAGAAGTCAGGGCATCACTAGTCCTCCCAAGCACCTGCAGAATTCACACAATACCACCTTCACAGTTCTTTCCCTATCCGCCACTGTCACCACATTCTGAATGTACTTCAGGAGGGAACGATGGGTTTAGATATGGAGAGAGAGTTGCACAGGCGACCTTCGTTTCAAATCTGACGAGTTCAATAAAGGTTTCAGAAATATGAGAGAGTTGTGCAGGCCCGAGTAATGGAGAGGACTAGAGAATATAATCTTTGCCCACCTCGTCATCATTATCATACAAGCAACGCCTCAGCAAAACTAGAATCCTTGGCTGCACGGAACCAACAGACACACAACATACGCTCATCAGCTATCGACCAGCCTGGAAAGTTGTTTTAAATCGAAGTCCAGGACATCAAAATTCAGAAGCAGAAAGAAGCAGGTCGTTGTGGAGTGTGATATCAGATCAGAAATGCAGCTCCATTACTTCAAAGAATTCACTTGCACAAAAACACGCAAATAGTCGACAGTTTAAACTGGTCCACACTCGCAAACATGTTACACTGACTTTTTTTTCGACTTCGTTTTTCAATTGAATAACAAGTTATTACTCCATTGTCTGCAATTTAGTAATAGCTCCATCAGCTATTACTACTAACGCGATTTAGTATTCACTTGTAAACCTAACCAAAAATCCAAGGGAATTTGTGATATGAAACTGTGCCCCACATCCTCTCTCCTCGACTCTCTCCCCTGTTTTCTTTTCCTCCCTTCTCTGTGGATCCAAACTATCTTCCAAACCCCTCACCACTACTCTTCCCACGCCCACTCTCATGACACTCCCCCATCCTCACCCTTGCATGTAACACATAATGCCAGCCCTTCACCACTTCCCCTTCCCCAACGCTCTCTGTAAGGCATCCTTCACATCCCCTTGGCACACCCCCAATCAACACTTCCCCTCCCCCATCCATCATGTGTTACACATCTGGCCCCCCTCAACACTCACCCTCCCTGCCTCCACTCATAAGAGAATTAAAACAAATCCCCTTCGCCTCTACTCCCTTTGCATGTGAACCATCTTGTGAACCAGATTGTGAACCATCTTGTAAACCAAATTGTGAACCATCTTGTGATCTCCAGTCTCACCCCCCTTCTTCACCCAGGCACGAGTCCCAAGAATCATACTTGCGGCGCACTGGTGCGGTGCGGTGCGCCCTGCGGAATGCGCGAGGTGACACTGCGAGCGCATGCTTGAGGTGCGCAGTGCGCGCAGCGCATGGGGACCGCGCAACCCCTGCAAGGGTGCACACTGTGCGCCATGCCGTTTTTCGGCGTGTGTGTGTGTGTGTGTTGTGTGTGTGTGTGTGTGTGTGAGAGAGAGAGAGAGAGAGTGAAGAAACCATGTGCTGACACTATCGGACCGAAGAAACCGCCCTTATCAACGACCAACATGAATCCGGAAGCGGGGGCCAGGTCCCACAAGCAGCGTTGAGTTTCCTCAACGAATCTGGACGCGTTCATCGAGATGTGCGATTGAGAAAACTCAACGCCATTTCTGCACATATCCACAGACACGTCCAGATTCAGGCATTGAGGAAGGCGACATGCACAAAGGACAAAAAATATGGCGGTGTATCTTTCCATGTTCTGGCAGAAGATTCATTCCCATTTGCTCATACGTTGGGTGGTGGAGAGCGTAGGGCTGTTGAATCAGGTAAGCACATAACGTATCTCTGGAACCTTTCTTTTTTTTTTTCCGGAGAATCTCTGAACCGTGTGCTGACACTATCGGACCGAAGAAACCGCCCTTATCAACGGCCAACATGAATCCGGAAGCGGCGCGACATGCACAAAGGACAAAAAATATGGCGGTGTATCTTTTCATGTTCTGGCGGAAGATTCATTCCCATTTTGCTCATGCGTTGAGCGTAGGGCTGTTGAATCAGGTAAGCACGTAACATATCTCTGGAACCTTTCTTTTTTTTTTTTGGAGAATCTCTGAACAAATGAGATTGAATCCTCCGCTTGAACATGGAAAGATACATTGCCATAAGAAGAGAGTTTCCGATTGAATCCTCCGTGTGTGTCTTGTGTGCATGTCGAGAGAAGTGCAGCGAGCCCGTTGGTGAACACTACCGTTGAGGTTCTGACAAGTTGGACGCGCCGGGCTTCGCTCGTGCAGAGAAATTCTGACTTTCTTCCTTACGTTTTTTACTTCCTAAAGCGTGTAGCGGGTCTCGCGTAACGCTCCCACGAGACCCCGGTTGCCAGTGTTGGGAAACGTGCCGTGGTGAGGGGCGGGCCCGCGGGGAACTCCTTAGTGTTTTCCGAAAAGGCGGATGCTGGGGGGAGTCCGAATTTAGCACAGGGGCCGGGGAAGATACACTCCCTTTTTTTTCGGGCGGGAGGGGGCCTTCGGGAGTCTTCGGGTGAAGTCCTTGCCTTTTCCAGAAACGCCCAGCGTCCGAATTTAGCAAGGGGGCCGGGGAAGATACAGTCCTTTGTTTTTTTAATTTGGAGAGGCCTTCGGGAGTCTTCGGGTGAACCGCTTCGGCCAGCCAGGCCAGTAGACGCAGGGTCGGTGGCGTATATACACACCGATTTCTGTCCTCCTCGTTCGGCACTCTCCATTTTGTATCTCCCATCTGTTTCCATGTCCTGCCTTCTATGCGTTTCGGACAGTTAACCAGTTTGCAGACACGGAGAGAGAGAGAGAGACAGACAGAGAGAGAGCGAGAGAGAGAGAGAGAGAGAGAGAGAGAGGGCATTCGCCATTTTGCATGTCCTGTGTTGTATGCGTTTCGGACAGTTAGCCAGTTTGCAGACACGGAGAGAGAGAGACAGAGAGAGAGAGAGAGAGGAGCGGAACGACGAGTTTGAGCCGGAGAGGCGGTCGACAAGCAACGAAGGACGGCTGAAGAGAGAAAAAACGGAACGAAGAGTTTGAGCGCGACGGTGTGTGGCAAAAATGGCTGATCGAGGTGAGTTTCTTTTTTTTTTTGTGTGTGAGAGAGAGAGGTGTGTGTGTGTGACAGAGAGAGAGAAAGAGAGAAAAAGAGAGAGAAAGAGAGAGAGAGAGAGAGAGATTCAGGGAGATCTCCCGCTATAACTCGGGGTGTGTGTGTGTGTGTGTGTGTGTGTGTGTGTGTGTATTCGTGTGTGTGTGTGTACGTCCGTGTGTGTGTGTGTGTGTTTCGCTCGAACATCGAAATCTACACTACTACCTCGTGATACTGCGATTGATCGGAAGAGCCAAATCGAATCAATCTTTCGCTCAAACGTCGAAAGTCTGTGTGTGTGTGTGTGTGTGTGTGTGTGTATGAGAGAGAGATGTGTGTCGGGGAGATGTCCCGCTATAACTACACGGCGATGTGTGTATGTGTGTGTGTGTGTGTGTGTGTGTGCGTGTGCGTGTACGTCCGTGTGTGTGTGTGTGTGTATTTCGCTCGAACATCGAAATCTACACTACTACCCAGCGACGAGATCGGGACTTGAGGGGATCAGGATGGGGGCAACGAGATCCGAAAACCCACAGACGTCGGGGTCGGGATCGGAGTCAGGATACAGGACAAGAAGACCTGGGATTCGCTTGAACATCGAAATCAACAATACTACCTGGCAACTTTAAGATCGGGACTTCGAGGGGGATTGGGATGGGGGCGACGAGATCCAAAAATCCACACGCGTCGGGATCGGGATTGGAGTTGGGATACGGGAGAAGAAGACGCGGGAGGCATCTAGGAGAGGAGGGAAAAGTCGAGATGGGAATCGCGACAGGGGAAAAGAAGATGTAGACAGCTTGGAACGATGTTAGGATGGGGAACGGGAGCAATGGTTTAGGACAGGGTGGGGAAGATGCCAATGCATTCGACGGTAGGATAGGGAAGAGGGAAATGTCGGGGAAGGAAGAAGAGGGGGAAGAGAAACGAGGGATTCGAGCATGTTGGGACGATGTCGGGTTACGAGGGATCGAAGCAGGTTGGGACGATGGAGGGAAGGAAGGGAAGGGGGAAGAAGTCCGAAGGGGAAAGACAAAGGCGATGGAGGGAGAGGTCGAGGAAGGAAGGGGGAGGGGGAGAGGTCCAGACAGAAGTCGGGATACGGGAGGGAAGGAAGGGAAGGGGGGAGAGGTCCAGACAGAAGTCGGGACAGGGGAAAGATGGAGGCGATGAAGGGAGAGGTCGCGGAAGGAAGGGGGAGGGGGAGAGGTCAGGATAGGGGAGAGGGAGAGGCAATAGAGCGAAGGATGACGAAGGGAAGGGAAGGAGAGGCAGGAGATGGCACACAACGGAAAGGAGGAGGAAGGAGGGATCTAGGCACGTTGGGACGAGGAAGGAAGGGGAGGGAGGGGGAAAGAAGGGGAGGGAGGAGAAGTGGCAATAGAGACTATCGCTGTTGATGTTTGGCGATTCTCACAGCAAAGAAAGCAACGAAGGCGGGAAGAAAGAAGTAGACAAAGAGTGTCCTAACTTCTCTTTCTGCGCGCTGTTTTGTTTCTCTTTTCGCTACCTTCAGTACCTGCTCCAACGACAAGGATCGCATACATCATTGACCCTGGGGACCGGCTGCTCACCACCTCCCAGCAAGAATCATTCCACCATATGTTGCGACGCATTCTCGAACACGACGACATCCTTCTCATTCCCGGCGACCTCCAGCAAGTGCCTCCGCGGACAACGCCACCGATGCAACAACGAACACATGCTCCTCAGCGACGCAGAGAAGAACTGAGGGAGAGACAGAGTAAGAGAGAGTAAAAAAGAGAGAGAGAGAGACAGAGAAAGAGAGAAAGAGAGAGAGAGAGAGAGACAGGGAGAGAAAGAGAGAGAGTGAGAGGCAGGCAGAGAGAGTGAAAGGAAGGAGGGGAGAGAAAATGTAGGAGAGAGAGAAAGAGAAAGCGAGAGAGAGAGAGAGACGGACAATGAGAGAAAAAGACAGACTCGACGAAATGAAACCTTTCTGCAAATTGTCCTCTCCATTCAATTGTTGTTTTTCTTGAATGCTTCATACATTCTTCACTGATGCAATTCGTCCTTCCTTCTTTCTCATTGTAAGTTGTGAAGTTCCACTTCTGTCCATCTCTTCATACCTTTGAAAAGAGTCGCGGTCACAACTTCCCTGTCTTTTTTCGGGCTCTCGGATACAACTGAATGCATCGGGATTGTGGGGGAGCCACGGCGTAGGCGCAGCCGCGGCGGGTCCCCTTGTTTTATTTAAAAAATAAATAAAACTCCAGGAAAAACGGCTGTCAGTTCCGTCCTTTTCTACTTCTACCGCCCCTCACAATTTTATTTTATTTTTTTGGACCCCCATTTTTGGAGGTGCGCCACATGCAGTGCGCGCGCGTCGTGCGGGATACGCGGTGCGGCGCACGTGCGCAGTACAGCACATCGCGATGCGCCGAATGTATGCCAAGAATCGATAAATTAAATACTTGTCCTGTGAAACGGCCCTGAAGAGTGATCGGTCGGTGGCTCAGTGGTTAGAGCACCGTTGGAAATGGGCATTGTGGTATGAGGTTGTGGGTTCCAAACTCCGTTGCCTCGCGCACGTACACCGGCAGCGCTTTCGTAGCGCACAAGCCATTCACACACCACCCTTGGGTGCCACATGATAAGCTTATGCAGACACTGCCTGCGCACCGCCCAAGGGGTCCACGTCCATGGTTGTAGTATGCTGGATAGGGCCATGGGAGAGCTTGTATGCTTGGTCGTAGGGGGGTCTGATGATCGGGATCTTATCTTGTCACCACCATGGGCGCGAGGGGGATAGGGCCCTTCGCCCTCGATAAAACTATCTGAAACCTGATACCTCTGCATGTTTACTTGGACCCTCCGATCTGTCAGCTTCGTCAGTCTGTACTAGTCCGTCGGGGTACCATGGTGGAGCCTGGGTGCGGCTTGTACATTTCCCGTCACTATGTTACCAGTATGAGAGTCCACACACAGCGAACTGAAGACTACGGGAGGGCCCATCTTGGAGGGGAAAATCCTACGCACACACTGGGTGTTAGTACGAGGTAGGGGCTGAGAACTTCATCATCCCACGGCTATCCCACTATGCCTGTGGGTGGTGCTTCATCCAGGTTGGTGACCGTGGGAATTCTCATTGGGGGGAATTAGTTGGGATTGTGAATCTTGGGGGAGCCTTAGGTAGGAAAGGCATCATGCACGTCGTTTGGGACATCCGTTCAAACTGGAACAATAGAGAGAAGATTAGCATGGCCCCTGCGCAAGGATGACACGCATACATCGAGAAATGGTCCAAAAAAAAAAAAAAAAAAAAGGAAAGGCATCATGCTTGGGATAGGGGAGGGCGGGATATTGCATCTTAGTATAAGGGTGATTCGCTGCCCATAGAGTCTGAGGGATGAGGCACAGATGGGGGATGACCGTATATACGTGGACCCCACCTTTGCCCGGGTCATCCTTAACATTAGAGTTAGGGTACTATCTGCACAAAGACGTTCGGGTCAGTCCGGTAAGCATTGAGGCAGATCACAACTTGCAATCTGAGGATGAATAGGTCATGGCATCATGGTGCCACCTTGAGGTGACTCCTCCGGGTCCTCCCAATCCATCTGACCTTGAGCTCTTCTGATACTAGTCCATTGAGGCTGTCATACAACTGCATGCACTGGGAATTACCAGGGAATCTGCCAATGCTGGAGGCCACAACATGCCAGGAAAGTGGATGGACATTCAAGTACGCGACTGTGGTTGGCACAAACTACTCCATCAATAGAAATAGCATCTCCCTGAGTTCACAGGCAGAGGTGAGCAGAAGGGAAGGCAATCTAGAAAGCAGGCATAAAGAGCGAAAGCATCATCTGAACTGCGGCAACTAGATGGGGTTGTGTGTGTTCTTGCTTGTTTTTTCCACGAGGACAGGGCAGAGGGGAGGGGGGAAGAGGGGATGGCGTGGAGAAAGGTAGTCAACACAGCAAGTTTACCCGCAAGTATTCAACAACCGATCCAAACTTTGCAAGTGCACTCACTGCACTAGCACGAACGGTAGCATTTTCAAGAATGACTCTGTTGTAAATGAAACGGATGTACTTGCTCGGGTCTTGAGTTTTTGGTCCTTCATTTCCAAGCAGATGGAGTATCTGCGGCAGGTCAGCAAGATCAGCCAACCAAGTTATAGAGAAGCAGGAGTCAGCACATGAACCAGATCCATTTGCACTACCCGTAGGAAAAAACTCTTGATGCTGCAAGACCTTCAGTGATCCATTCTAAAAAACTTGATCATTTCCTCGACCACTCCAATGATTACCACTTTTCGCACTTCCATGGGACAGCTCACAGAGGCAGTGCCAAAAACATCCAACTGTCATCCACAGAAAGCAGCACTAATGCCCACGTATCAAGCACACAATGCCATGGATTCAGATATGCTCACACACATGCGAAATAGGACTCCCACAACGGAGAAAACCAGATGATTTTTTTAATTCTTTTCAACAGTGCTTAGCCCCTTATGCTATTGAATTTTCGTTTTTTTATATTTTATAGCATCCAGCATCCGAAATCGCCAGTTATGTGTGTGTGCCATCCAGTTGCAAAGGCTGGGTGAGGGGACAGCTCAGGGAGGTAGGTGCAGTTACCATGCCTTCAATTGGACACTGCTGCCAAGACTGAAACGCGTCAGCATGGACGTACACCACGTTTTTAGCCCCTTTCACACACCTTGGTTCCAACCAGCTCATGCTGTTGAACTGATAGCCAGATGACGCCCAGCAGCCACAAAATACGGTCACAGCTGCCCTTTAGGTCCAGCACATATGGCAAGCACTTTTGCCTCAGGGACTCCAGCAGAGTCCATTTATTGTTACAAACAAAAGAGTCAAAGGAGACATGGCGCCCCACTTAGATGCAACAGGTCTCATGGACACAACGAGGACAATTTTGTTTTTCTGTTTTTTTAATGCGCCGCATCACTTGTTCGTGCGTGCATGTGTGTGCGGCACCCCGTGCATGAGATGCGCTGCAAGTATGATTCAAACACATCTCTCTCTCTCTCTCTCACACACACACACACACACACACACACACACAAAGGGGGTCCGAAAGGGGGTCCGAAATCCCCCGACAGGTGACTGTGCTGGGGGGGCCTGGCCCCCAACCGGGTGCCCTGCCTGGCGAGGCCGCCCGGGACCTCCCCCGGGCCCCTGCCGGTCACCCGGGCGGCCCGGATCCCCACTCAGCTAAACATGCATAGGAGAAGCCGTGATTGTTCTATCGCTGGGTCTTCTATGGGATATAATTGTTTCCTGCAGTTTACTGATGTTCAACAGTCAGGTCTCCTCGGTCCTGAGTAAACTGTGATGTCCCTTCTGTAAGTTGCTGCATTGCTGAAGTGAGCATATTAGCCAGGACCCGACGTCAAGCAGAGATACACTTCTAACTTGTACTCCCTGAGGGTAGGCAGAGAATATATAATCTGGATTCGAATTCAGGTCTGTGCATGTTGGTTATGGGTCACCATTTCTCTGTTTTCTCGATTTTCTTTTCTTTTCTCGTTTTTCTTTTCTTAGAAATATGTGCAGTGGCCCTAAGGGCCTTTACTCACCAAATGCACAAAAGACAAAACATATGGTGGTGTATTATTCCACGTTCTCAAGAAGATTCATTCTAATTTTGCACATTTCGAGAGTAGTGCAGCCAAGCCCTAAGAGTCACATGCAGAGACCAACAGGCCCTAGCTACGTGAGCAACCCATAACTGCTGAAACACAGACCTGAATTCGAATCTTGAGTATATTCAGCCAGCTCCTGCTCTATTTCATATTTACTGCCTGCCTTGATTTTGGTGGGGGGGTCTGCGCTACATATCTGCGAGGACACTTCAGATAGCCTGCATGGGCCGTCTGAGGTATGTTAAGGGGATCTGTTCTCTCTCTCTCTCTCTCTCTCTCTCTCTCTCTCTCTCTCTCTCTCTCTCGGCCCCCTTGTATACACACACCCCTTACAAAAAAAAAGAAGAAAAAAACGCATCTGCGCCCCATCACAGACACCCCACTAGATGACCTGTTGCCGCTTCGCTCGCAAAAGCAAATGCGTCAGGTGATGCACGGCGGGGGGAGGCAACCAACCGATGGAAACTCTCTCTCTCTCTCTCTCTCTCTCTCTCTCTCTCTCTCTCTCTCTCTCACACACACACACACACACACACACAGAGAAAGAGAGAAACCGAAAAAACTTGCGCCACATGTCAAAGCCATGTGGTGGCATTTCGCACCTTTGGCAACCCCCCCCGCCCCCCCGACTTTCCCCCTAACTTTTCCTCTTCTCCCTTCTTTCCCTCCTCTATGTTTTCCCCTCTCTCCCCCTTCTCCCTCTCCTCCTCACTCTCCTCCATCTCATTCTCCCTCCCTCCCCTCCCTACCCTCCCTCCTTTTCGGCTTTCACCTCCCTGTATCTTCCTGCTGTTACTTTTCCTCCTCCTCCCCCTCGTTACTGCTGTCCTCGTCTTTCTTCCTCCATTCTCCCACTCCTCGTCCTCTATCCGTGATACTTCCCCGCGTCCCCCCCCCGCCCCCCCCCTTCACCCTTCCTTGGAGGGCATGCTTAGCAAATAAGAGCAGCATAGGCTGCTTGATCCTCCCCGTCCTCGTCATCCTC